CTTGATTACGGTGGCTTCCTATCAGGTTCCGCTTCTTATTCACATTGGAAAAAAATCAATAATCTCCAAAAATCCTGCCTAAAATCAATTATCGGTGCCATTAAATCTACCCTAATGCGGCCGTCGAGATTGAAACAGTATGCCCCCCTTTCAATATCAGAATCAGATGGTTGGCTGGTAAATTTCTTCTAAAAAATCTTTCCCTTCGCTATATTATTATATTTAACTCTTTCCTCGACATCTACTACTCTTTGCGTTATGTTAAAAAATCACTTCCAATTCTTGCATCCACGGCATATTCCTTAACTTCAACTCGCGACTTTATTATAAATTCCAAAAAATCACCCTTATAAGAAACTAACTATTTGTCACTGTCTTACACCCCTAAAGTTCACACTAACAAACATTTTATTAACGTTTCCTCCAAGTCACTTAAATCTATATCACCTATCATCGTCAACAACCTTTTCTTAGAATACATCCAAAATCATTTCCCCAATTACACCTTAATTTATACTGATGGTTCCGTTTCCTCTCTTTCGTCCGGTTACGCTTTTTACATTCCCGATTTACATATCTCCATGTCCAATAATCTACCCCCCTTCTGCTTCATCTTTCACTACTGAATGCTTCGCAATTTTAGAAGCCCTCTCAACCATTTCTACCCTCCCTCCCAGTAGCTTCCTCATCGTTTCTGACTCCTTATCAAGCCTTCTCAGCATCTCCTCCGATTTTTTTCAATCCCCGCCCTTTCCCTATTTCCATCAGGATCAGGCAACTCCTATACGAACTTTCTCTTTCAGATGTTATAGTTGAATTTTTTTTGGGTACCTGGCCATTCTGGCATAAATGGTAATGAAATAGCGGACTCCATTGCAAAATCTACCTCCTCGTTCTGTTGTCCTTCTCCGACTTCAATTCCCTGGACCGATTTTTGCCCCTTACTAAAATCTCATATTTCTAATTTATGGCACAACCAATGGAACAATCTAGCACCCAATTATGCCCCTTGGTACAAAAAATATCTCACCGTCTATACCTTCTCATCCTTGGTTTCACAACCTCAAATTAAATCGTAACATAATTACTTCTTTTTCACGCTTAAGATTTGGACACACTCTACTACCTTCACACTCTTATAAACTTTCTCTCAATGACTCCCCTTTATGCATGCTACACGCTCATGATCCCATGATTTGCGATATCTCACACATACTTTTCATTGTCCCTCACTGGTTCCCCAACGCAATAGCCTCTTCGCCCTAATCCACTATTTTAATGTCCCTCTCGATACCCAATCTATCCTCTCTTTTTCAAATTATACCAATTATTTCCTCACTTATATTCTTCATCAACGAGGCTGGCTTAAAAATTTAATTTATTTGTAATATATCTTCTGTCGTTAATTTTATATACCTTTATGTAATACTTTTGCAAACATAATTGTCGAAACTAATTGTTAGCAAAGTTTCCTTTTAAATAAAAAAAAAAAAAAATAACAAGTGGTGCTATTAGTGTGTGATAAAACGAACCACTAGATTAGTATTGGTAATTTTTTACCACTAATACTTAATTATAATAAGAATTACTCAGCTATACTCTGATGAGACTAACGACCTAGCGAGCGCTAAGCTTCCATTTCCCCCTCCCTCGGTGTCGTCGTTGGACACGTGCACCAGTCGTCGGAGCGTTGGGGTGGATATTAAGCTTATTGCTAGTACAATAATAGATCTCATGTGAGCCTTGGGGCTCCCACAACCTTAAATCCGGCCCTGATGATGTGTGTATAACTATTGTGACTATTACTATAGTTATTAACAGTAATTTGTTGGTATTGAATTAAACTTTATTTAGAATTAGATAATAGATAAAATAAAAAATTTTCCCCCCCTCTAAAAAATGTCTGGGTACGTCACTAGTTCATTACCTACAGCTCATGTTCCTGTTGCTCATTTAAGTGAATAAATAAAAATACAAGTACCAAATTGAATTAAATATTTATTATTATTGAATTTACAACAACAAAAATAATATCAGCATACCATATTCCCATTTAATTTTAACACGCAATAGAAATTTAATTTTAAAATCCATTAATTAGGTATATATGTAAATTATTTTGTAAAAAAGGTTTTCTCTGTATGGATTTGATAAATAAATATCTAAATTTAAGAATATGATCTATACAGTGGCGTATTTTCAATTATTTCTTGTTGGGGGGGGGGGGGGGTTAACATTTATAAAAGTCATATGATAAAGCTTTTTTTCCTCTTGCTTTGAAACAAGGAATAAAGAGATATAATGAATACAAACATTATTTTATAACTGAAAAAAAAATGTCACAATTTTAGTAAAATTAATTTTTAGATTAATTACAACGATTAGAATATCAGTTTATTTGTTAAATAAAATAATTATAATTTCATCTTTTAGTTTTCATTTTTCTTCATTTCAAATTTTAAATTGAAAAAGGTAAACATTTTTTCTTATTCACCAGTTCTTCAATTACCTCTGTTGGTCTAATTTTATCTTTCGAATTTATAAATTATTATTAGACATAGTTAATCCGTTTAGTCTTCCCTAAAATGAAATAAAAATATAGATAATTATTAAACTGTTATTTATTATTTTATAAATAAATAAATAGGTACCTCTGAAATGGAATTTCTAAGATAAGTTTTTATCCTCTTCAAGTTTTAAAACATTCTCGCATTTGATGAAGAAGAGACCGGAAGTGTAGTCAAAATTTGGAGAAGTTTAAAAATGTTTGGGTAAGTTTTCTTTGCCACAACTTATATTATGACTCAAATATAATGTCAGAAGATCCGTTTTCTTGAAACAAAGAATCGAAATTCGACCAAGTTACTTGATGGTTTATGCAGTGGCGTACATACGGGAGGATTTCCGAGTTCAAACCCCCCCAGGGCCAAAAAAAAATAAAAATAAAATTAATTTATTATTGATGACATATAATATATTCGTAGTTTCATTATAACGCTTTGAACTTAAAATATACAATTATACAAATATTATGAAAATTAAATAATTATATTGATAGGTGTTTGAAAATTTTCGTTAACTATGCTGTTTTTGTATTCCAATAATTATTAATTTACTGTTATGTAAAAATAAACTGTAAATTGATAAAAAAGTTGTATAAAATAATATCTATTTATAGCAGTTATTTATCTTATTTATCTGTGCAACGAAAAAAAAAGAACTATTATTTTTTTTTTTTTTTAACCCCCCCCCCCCCCACAGAGCAAGAATGAATGTACACCACTGGGTTTATGAACCAATCGTCTAACTCACTAATGAATTTATCCGAGTAAGGAATAAATATTGATGTTCTGTAAAATTGCACTGGTGAACTTGCTAGAACTTTATTTTTATGAATTTGTTTGTTTGAAAGTCTAGACATTTTAATATTAATATCAAAATTGTCGGCTAATATTTTTACTTATCCAAATATGTCTTTAAAAACTTCTTCAGTGTTTTTTTCTGAGTTCTTGTAACTACTGTTCTGTACCATTGGCTAGTTTTACTGTTATTTTTTAGTCACTATTTTGATTTTGTAATAACTGATAGAGGTAATCTTACACTAAATCCCTTATTTAACACGAACAGAAATATCAAAAATTCTAAATCTAATACAACGTTTCTAAGACTCCTACCAGATGTTTCATTATTAACCAACTGATATATTGTTTCAAATGATCCGATAACGTGATTATAAAGCTCTTTAAAATCCTGTGATCCAGTGACTGCATGAAATCTTTCGATCCATCTTGTTCCGCAATTTCTTTTCATTTTTTTTTTTTTTTTTTTGATTATATCTCGAAAGAACTTTTCATTTGATGATGTAAAACAGATATTCTTTTTGGATAAATAAAAAAATTCATGGACTTTACCTAAACTTGATAAACAATCTCTTATTTCTGCTGCACTTTACGATTTAGAAACTACCAGGTTTAATGAATGTGCTGAGCAATGTACGTACATTGCCAATGGGTATATTTTTTTGTGTGCTTGAACTCCATTTAATTTACCTGACATGGATGTTGCCCCATCAAATCCTTGGCCTCTTAAGAACTTGGTACCTATACCATATTTTTGAAGATTATCAATAATTAGTTTTGCCAATCCCTTCCCCGTCACGTCAAATGTTGGCACAAATTGTAAAAATTCTTCGCCGAGTTCAAGTTTATTACTTTACACGTGTTCTAATGATGTCCAAACAGCTCCGAGCTGATCCAAGCTATTCGGAGCAGTTTTGCTCTATAGGTGTGCGCCCAGCCTTAGATAGTTATATAAACAGTCTGTTACAGAACAATTATCAGAAAACACATATTAAAAAATTGATTTAACACGCTCAATACCGCGGCCTACTTGTTTATTGACAACTCCGCACACACATTGAAATTATAATGATAAGGTATTTTCTTATGATTTATAAATAATATTCAAATATTTTAATTTCATCTAGATTCAATAAAGGAGTATAGAAGAACAGCTGAGTGTTCCAGTCTCTTTTAGGATGTAGAGCAAAAATTAATTGAAACTTCAAATATTATATTATATTAAGTTAATAATTTATTATAGGCATGTTCAATAACAGATTATAATATACATTTTTAATAACCTTATAGATGTGTTGGTAAACACAGTCAAAATTTTATAAATAAAATTACATGTACTTAGAAACCAAACTATAATAAGAAAAGCATTATGATAAGTTAAGTTTATTAAATATATAATAATAAAAATATTGTTATGAAAACAATAAAAAACTACAGTTAAATATAATAAATTATCTTAAAGACTATAATGAATATATACTAATATTACTAAAGTAATCTACACCAATTTCAACGCTATTAAAATGAAACTAACATATTACTTAAACAAAACATTACCAGTAAAATTTTTATATTTTTTGTTAATAAAAGTTTTATTTTACAAATAAACTCAATTCCAATGATATTTTTTCAAGATATTGGTTCATATTTTTCATATTTGTTACGTTTCTTCTTTTTATTTTTTGATTTATTATCTAAATAAATAACAAAAAATTACTAACTAATAATAAGCATTAATTCCCATGTATTATTTACAACAAAAAATAACATAATTTTTTTTTTCTTTTTTGTTATCCCAAATAATAAATTAAATTTATTGTAATTATTTTTTTTTGTACTTACATTAAAATAATATGAGTATTATAAATGTACCCAACATGAAAAAATACAAAATCAATTTTAATAGTTAATTGAAACATAAGGTTTAATATTTTAATTTAACCCAACAAAAGTTAAAAATTATGAAATTAAAACTTTATACAATAGGGTAAATTAGTTTAACAAAAAAAAAAAAAAAAAAAAAGTAGATATAAAAAAAAATAATTTGCTATTTTATTTGATGGATAAAAACTTTAATATGCAAGTTTATCAAAAATATATATTTTTACCATGCAAGTTTATGTTAGCAATAGCATCTTCCAACATATTACTAATAGGCATTGAGTTTGATCTAGAACCGAGTAAAGGCCATTGAGAAGATACATTTGGTAAAGCCATATCTGGGTTATTTGTGATACTTTCATTCTGTAATGCCTACAATACAACATCCATTATTACATAAATGTTAAATACAATTTTATCATATAATGTTTATTATGATTATATTTTGTACCATGAGAGAAATTAAAATATTTGAAAATCTAGAACATTTTATAGTAGGAGTTGGGTAAGATACTGCAATCAATCAGATATAATTCAGAAAAAAAATATATAATAATGAATTATATACATGGTAACAAATGATCTTAACATACAATTTTCAAAATCTGTAAGTAACAATTTGGCGTAAATTCTTCCTAGTAAACTTAACTTACTATTTACTAGTCAAAAGTCACAAAATTTTGATGATTATCAAAATAATTAAAATAAAATTGATGGAAAAATTATACTCAATTTACAAGCTTTTTTTTCATATTTTCATTACATAAAAATAATTTTAAAAAACTATGTACTATACATGTCAAATTATCAATTTTAAATATTAGATGTTGGTTGAATAATCAAAAGAAAAAATTGATAATAGGAAAAAAGAATGAACCAAAATTTTCTCACTGTTCAAAACATAAAATAACAATAAATAATTGTAGTCACAATTGCATCATACATGTATCAAATAAAATGTTACTTCATACTAATGCAGTTCTGATAGAATATTTTTATACATTTCAAGAATAGAAAAAAATATTATAATTATGTTTAATAACATCATACATCATAATAATAAAATTATTTTGAAATATTACCTTTGCAAATGATAAATTATTTGGTGAACTATTAGGAGAATTCCCTAGATTTTGTTCAAGTGTTGATGTTATTCCAATTGATTCGCTTAAAGGCACCATACTGTTAAGATATTCAGAATTAAAAAAATTGAACCACTTAAATATACTTCTATAATATACCTTTTATCAGCAAATGGATCATAACCACAATCTGGGAATACATTTTTATTATGCCATTCTGGAGGTGGTAACTGTTTTTTGTTATTCCTTTCTTCAATACGTTTAGCCAGTCGTTGTTCATCACGAACACGTCTATCTCTTATAGCTTTCCTTTCATCTAAATTGGCTACATTTAAAATAAGTTATCATTTTTATTTTTATTGATAATTTAAAATGTTTATTGATTTAATTATATTATATATACCAAATATTTTTTTGAAAATAAATATTATACTTACTTTTAAATATAAACAAGGTTTCTGGGTTGACTATATTGGCCAAATCTAATTCAACCCATTCAAAAACTGTAGTTATTGGTAAATGTAATAGAAATCTGTAGCGTTTTCTTAATGCTTCAGTCATTGATAAGTATTGTTTTTCAATTACATTTGCTGTTATGAGTTGAGGACTATTTTCAAGGCATCCAAACATACATTCTAACATTTCTACATTAACTGCAGATAAATATATATGCTGACCATCCACAGCTATGCAAATAAACATAGTTTGTAGAAATAAAAATATTTAAAACTATATAATTTTTTACCTTGATAAAAATAAAAATCTTTTTTTGCAGGTTTTTTCTGTAAAACTTCATGACCATTTTTTGAATTCAAATTGATTTCTCTAAAGAATATTTATACAATAAACAATGAAAAATAAATTAAACTAGATTTATTTTAATGTAATATGGAATTATAGAATAAATATTTATCTTAAGTATACACAAATTTATTTTGCGTAAGACAGAGTGTAATAAACACATTTATTACATATTATTACATATTATTACATAATTATTTATAGTTAAATTGAAATAATTGAATTTAAAATATTTAAAATTGTAAGACAATATATAGTAAAAAACATAAATACACTGCTAAATTAAGTAAAATAAATGAATGAAGTGTGAATATTATTTTCAAAAGATAATTTATTATAATTATCAATTTTAATTTAGTAAGGTTTAGACTATGATTATTGCCAATATATCATAGGTATCTTACAAATTAATTATTTATCCAATTACGGTAATCATTTATTTTTGAGTAGATAATATAAAGTTAGATATATTAGTTACAATACAGTAAATATTTGATTAGTCAAATATTTTAAATTCTTGAAAATCTATAGTTTCTTAATTAAAGATTGACATAAAAAAAAATTTACTGTATATTGTGTATTAAATTTTCTTGCTTTAAACTAGAGTTATTCTCCAAAACATTAGGAGCATTATAAGAACTTCCAGGAATCTCAAACATGTTCTGTAATTTTAATATCTGCAAAATATAAATTTTATTAATTAGTTATATTTTTATTCCATATATACATTATAATTACTGGTGGTGTGGCTTGACTTGGGATTAAAGTATAATCTATTGATTCTAAATCTGCACTTTTTATTTCTGAATTCTAATAAAAAATTAGATATAATACATTTTTATATTCATTCATCCCATTAACATATAAACACTTACTGATTCTTTATTTATTAATAGGTCTTCTCTTGTTGATAATAATTCAAGAGCTTCATATATATACTTTTTTTCTATGTCTTCAGTTTCCCAATTGTCTAATAGTAAAACAAGAGATTCTCTTTCTTTGTTTAATATATCTAAAACCTAAGGTATTTTATTGCTAATTTATATTTACTATGCGTTTTAAAATTATAACAACTAACTTGACTTTTATGACCAATTAAAATTCTGGAATAAGATGTAGAAAACTTTGATTCACAAACCGATAAAGGAATATTGTCAGATAGCCTATAGGTATTTTGTCTAAGCTCAGAAATTGGATATGCTTGTAAAGAATTTCTAGCCCGTTTCATTAATTGTAGAGTAATTGGTTGACCAACACAGCATTCTTTTTTGACAATTATTTCAACACTTGACAAAAATATAAATATATTATTTGAAATAAAGTTAAATAACTCAAATCATTTAACATTTACCTCTGTAGTTCTTTTTTAGATATTCTTGAATGACATATTGGACAGCCAGTAATGTCCAATTCTTTATTTATATCTAAATAACGCAAAATGCAAGGCCAACAATAAATATGACCACAGCGGGTCATTTTTGATGTTATCGGTATGTCCATACATATGGGACATTTTATTGACTGGGTAGAAAACATTTTCTAAAATAAAAAAAAATTCATTATTTAAATTTAAATACAAACATTTTAGACATTTTTAACATATTTCTAGACACATTTCTAGCTAACCAAATACTGTTAACAGCAAAACATATATATAATAATATGAAAATCATATCTATCACTGATATGTATAATATTCCAGAAAGAGCAAGTTAGGTTAAATATTATTCAAACTTGTATATTATACCTTAAAAATGGTCTATACCTTAAGTGAAAAACAATACAATTTTAATAAGAACCAACTAAGACACTAATACCTAAAATTAAAAATATACTTGTATCCCACTAATTTTGTATGTATAAATCAATTATCAACCTATTTTGTATTTATATAAATATATGATATATCTCATAAACAGGGCTCATAAGTTTATTGTTTATTGTTATTTTATATTTTGGACAGTGAGAAAATTTTAGTTCATTCTTTTTCTCTATTATCAACTATTTCTTTTGATTATTCAACCAACATCAAATATTTAAAATTGATAATTAGATATGAAGGATCAAGAATAATATTAAATAGTATTTAAAATATATTATTCTTTTTTTTTTAATTTTGACATAAAAAAATAAAATATAGCTATAAAAAAATGAATGGATAGTTCATATTATTACAAAAATTATTTATGATATTTTTAAGTAAGCATTTTTTTAAGTGCATAAATGCATGCTTATTTAGGCATTTTTTAGTGCATGAACTTACGAACCCTCCTCATAAAATTTATGAATATATAATTTATTTAATAATGGTCAAAACATTTTTATAAAATACATACTATTTGTTCAATGCAATCCCAACTAACAATTTCATCCTGATTCAACATCCACTGAGAATAATCTTTTCCAAACTTAACAACAAACTGACAACTGCAAAAAAATAATAAATTAATATAATTTTAGATTTCAACTGTCATAAAATTACTTTGCTATCAAAAAATGCTTGATGTTGAACTTTTGTGGTAATTCTTTTTTTCTAGATCCATAGCCACTACGCAGATTCCATTCTCGAGTAGGTTCCCTTTGTCTTAATAAAGACAATATATCATCATCTTCAACATCATTTAAGGATTCAGTTACCTAAAATTATTAATTGATAAATAACATAATTGTAGTATATATTTTGAAAAATAATAAGTAAAATGTAAAACATCATACCTACATTTCTACATACGAGCTATTTTTTATAAATAATCAATTAATATATATTTTATAAAATTAAATAATATTCATTATGCATTACACAATATATTTAAATATCTTATACCGATACTAATTTTTTTTATCATGCTAGTTTTATTGTAATTGAAAGATTTATTTTGGTGTAGAAATGTATTTTTACATCTTATCCATTAATATATAAAAAGAAAAATAATATTATATATTAAAATATTACAATTTATAGAATAATAAAATACAATAAAATAATATAAAAAAAAAGTAAAAAAAAAATATTTATAGGTTGTACTAACCTCGGAACTCTTCTTTCTACAAAAAAGACTAGCTCGAGGTGGCGGCTGTTTACAGTTATTTGAGGTCTTTTTAGGGCCAATATTTCGACTAGATTCAGTTCTTTGAGACTGAATAGCGATAGATTTTCCATTGCGGCGATTAGAGTATTTTGAATTTGATGAATCTGTGAACCAATCAATACTTCAATTAATATGTACAGTATAAAGTAATAATAACAATTAATCATAATACTAATAATAAAGTTATTATAGACATGAGTATGTATAATTGAAAAAATTCAGCAATTCCCAATCGGTAACTTCCATATAACGATCATCGAAAGGACTAGAAATAATCATTGCTTAGGTGGTTTATATTATTCCCTTGAGTCATGACATAATCACTAGTTAACTATTTAATTAAAAAATAACTTTATAACATTAAAATACATATTTTTATTACTTAACATTTAGTATAATTATTATTTAACATAAATTATAATAATAGTTGACTACAGTACAATATTTTTTTTGGTCAGTTAGTTGCAATAACCAAAATTGCAAAAAACAAAATTGGACGTATCTGGTTATTACAACCATTAAAAATGTAATTATAGTTTTTAGTTTTTTAAAAATATTATCGTGAATATATATTTCAAACTAAAGAGAATTTGTTAAGTGTTGTATCTTATTCTGACAAAAAGAATAACAATAAGTCTTTAATTTTTAGTTTATTTATGAATTTTATAAATATTTTTTTTATGTTTCCTGAATATTTTTAAAAATGAAGGTATCCCGTTATTGCACCGTGGCATTCAATTATTCTCATTTTATTATCGAACTGTTTTGTTCGAAAAGACATTATGTTTATGTTTTGTCACTCCAATGTAAATCAAACTTTACAGTTAGATTCTTAGGCTATAATTCTTAATTGTACAATATTATCAATTATAATTGATTATAATTTATGTATAAATAATATTCAACTATAGATTAAATATCGATTATAACCTATTATAATTTATTAACTGATAATAATCTATCATGCATTTTGTTTAAAAAAATAACCACTATAATCTATATATTTTTCTACATGTTGATTAAATGGAAATAAAATAATCGCTAGAATTATCTCCAAGAAGATGAATATCCATATAAAAAACGATTACATTAGAGCCTTGATAGTGCGGACCCCCCGACAATCCGGTAAACGCAGTAACCCGAATAGTATAATTCCATTTATTCGTAAATAGATTTCATGAGAATTACTGGAATCCAATTAATCTGTAAGATATTGTTATCGACAAATAGTGAAGTCCAAGCAAGAACCCACATTTTTCGACTTTCCTCTTTTTTTTCTTTAATAATAGTTTACATCCCATGTATAAAATTATAATATCATTTATTGTTATTTGTTTATAAACTTTAAAATGTAAATCCAATAAATAAATGTGCACGAGTAACTGTACACGCACAACATACAACAAAACATACAATGCACAGTTCAATACTGACTTTATAATCTATAAATTAATTTATAAACTTTTAGATCGTCCGATAAAAAGTCGGTCGTATGTCATAACTAGAGCAAGGACTTTCATGCATTTGCATATTTTTTTCTGGTTAACTTTATCGTATGCTTAGTAAGTACAAAATACATTTCATAACGTTTACGATGAAGTACTCAAGTTTTTTTGTGCATATTTTTGCATAATAGGACACTTTTTGGTTTAAGGGGCATATTTTGATGGTTTATCGAAAATCAAGCGCTTTGGTGAATATTTTCCATGAATCATGGTCAACAATTTGTTATAAACTTATAAAGACGATAGAGATAAGTTTTATCTTGAAATAATAATAATGGTCAGTATTTATTGTGTCTATTTTTGTATTTTTATAATACAAATCAAATTGTAGGTATGTGGTATAAAAAACGATAGTATCAAGTATCTATAGTCAATGGGTATATTAGATTAGTTCTAGATTTACCGCGTATGTGTTAGTTTCGTATGTTTAATTTTTATAAAACGTTCGTGTTTAATAATCAGTGCAATTCTAATTTAGGTAAGGTGAATACTTGAAAATAATTCAACAACTATTTTGAAATACTTTTTTTTTGTTTTATTAGGTGCAGAATAATAATTAAAAAGATTGGGATCCAACATTTAAAAAAAATTCCAAATCAATTTAATAAAATAAATCTAGTTAAAACTTATAGTGAATAATAATAAAATTAATTTTTTGATGCATAAGAGCATATTTTTAAATGTATTTGATGATCTTTTAGTGCATGAAAGTCCTTGCTCTATTCATAACCTTACCTCCTATCGTACAATAAAATTTTAGTAAGATAAAAATGCCGTCCGATAAATATTCGTTCGTATGAACCAGCCCTAAATGTACTGACTATCGATTTATTACTATCAGTCAGCTAGGAACAGTAAGGCCCGGTACACACTTGCGTCATTTTAACGCGCGGCACCGCAAACGCGGCATGGAAAACCCAAAATTTAATTGCGTAGTGCACACATCACAGCGGCAACGCTGCAGTGACGCGCGTCCGTCTGCGACAAAGTTTTTGTCGCAAGTTGTTATCGCACCGCAGCGTCACCGCGCCTTCACTTGCGGTCGCTCAATTCATTGTATCATATTGGTCAGTGCACACTATCGTCGTTTTGTACACAAGGTACGCAAAAATAATACGTTTTTTTTTATAAATTTCCATCGCTTGTGTCAAATCCATACTGACAATATATGTAAATAATAATATATGTAAGTAAAAACTGCAAAACTGCACAAAAGAAAAGTGTTATGTTTGCGTTCCAACGTCGTACTGACCGTACGTATGTATGACGTTATGTATATAGGTATGTATATTTGCCGCTAGGTGTGCATTGAATACGGCGTCATCGCCGCGGTGCCGCAGCGTTGCCGCGCGTTAAAATAACGCAAGTGTGCACCAGGCCTAAGTAATAAAATGACGAAATTGTATACGTCGATAACAATATCTTACAGATTAATTGGGTTCCGGTTATTCTCGTAAAATCTATGAATAAATGGAATTATGTTATTCGGATCACCGCGTTTAACGAACCATCGAGGCTCTACTGTAATCGGTTTCTATATGGATACTCATAGTCTTAGAGCATAATAATTTCTAGCAGTTCATAAAAGTGGTTTTCGCCTGCGCTATCCTAATTTTAATTTCCTTAGTGATCTTACCATCTTGAGTGATTATTAGGTATCTAAAGCTGTCCACTTGTTCTAAATGATTATTTCCCACTTGTACATTATTTTGTATATATTATTTTAAAATTGTTTTATTTAATCAACATTTTAAGCACTACATATTATTTTGTATAATTTTATTTTAGTTTGTAACGCAGTTGTTTTTTTGGTTGTACTATTATCAGTGCTTGACTTGAGGGATGACAGAGTACCCCAACTAATTTTCAGAAATGTTAGCGTCCCCCTACTTTTATTACGCTATAATCTTAACGCTCAACCAGTTTTGGGGACGTTCTTTTTTTTAAAGTAAAAAAAGTCCCCCTTCTATAATTTTGCCATGCAAGCACTGACTAATATTAAAAAAAAATTGAAAACTTAGCAACGTAGTCTATAAAAACTTCGCAATCGTGTTGTACCCTAAATTTTGATCCTGAATTATAGAAAAAATTTGAGTCCCCTCCCTAGAAGTAAGTCTAAATACGCCCCTGTATACCTGTTTGTACAATACTAAAATGTCTAAAACATTATATACTAAAAACTTACAAATTACAATTTAAATTTGTCGACAAAATTAGTGAATTATTTTTACCCTATACGGAGTCCAAAAAAAGACACTCAGGGTAGTCAATTCCATTTCAACCCCCCTCCGTCTATTAAACTATCATACAACTGTGCCAACCCTAAAATATATGACCTCCTTTTGGCTGGCCAGCCCTGGGAAAAATTCCTGGCGCCGCCAATGTAGTATAATATAATATATAGTATATATATAATATTCTGTATAATTTTACGCAATCTATTACGTAAATTTCTACCATAAATTAAATTTACACATCCAATTAATGGCAGCTCGTGCTATGGAGCACACGGCCACGTGTCCCACCTAAATTAAAAGAAGAATTGAAATTGAAAAGCTATTGATATTTCTTTTAACCATCATAATAAAGTTGGTAATTGGTATATTATTTGAAAATATTATCGAAAAAAAAAAATTGTATCAAATACAGGTGCTTCTACGACATACTGATACTATATTATAGTGTCATTAGGCAACGAGCACAAATTCGTTGTCCTTTGATGGCGCGATCAACAGTGATAGATTTCACCTACTTTTTGATAAGAATTAATACGGGGTTGCCGGGCACAATCGTATTGTGCCCAAATTCGATTTTTATAATGATTTACGAAATTTTGTCGGTCTTATCGTATTCGTATTGTTACCGTCGGCCGTCTTTCGTGGCACAGAACAAATACCAATTGTTTATCATAGGTTATAGGAACATGATAATTATTAATCATTTTTTGTTCATTCTTTTATTTAATTCTTTTTATTATTTTCATTATTTTTAAGTGTTATGTATTTTCATTTGACGGTGCTCTTTTTTATACGTTACAAATTTACAATACCTAATTTATTAAATATTTTTTAATTTAATTTAATAAATTCATCCAAGTATTCATGAGAAAAAAAAGACAGAAAAATCGATTTGGAACTCAAAAATATTACTGATTAACTATATAATTATATTTATTATTTATTTTTAAACAATCATTTTCTTATTTTTAGAATTTTTACTATTTTTTGTACAACATACATCATAAACGTATACTAAAAGGATTTTATATGCAATTTTATTATATTTAAAAAATCAACAGGAATTGTTAGTAAATTCAAAATTGAGACAGTTAAAAAGGAGTAAAATTATTGTGCCCTACCTTCAATGAACCCCACAAGCCGCCACTGCATCAAATTATTTTACCAATGACCAGCGACTTTATAGAACACATTCGTGCATCACCATAATTATGTCGTATACAGATATATGTATAATAAACTTATTATATTATGTCTGCATACTAAATAAACCACATAGTATGTGATATTCATATTTTCAACTATATTTAAATTACTGATGACGTAAAAATTAATATCTGTAGTTCGGTTTTTCTTCCATGATATTGTGGCATAGTACAATGATAATAATTTGCAAAACAAATAACCTAGGACCATAAACTTAAGGACAATGAGATAAATGTTGGATGTGTACAATTATAAAAATATTAAATACAGACTTTAAAACTGGTTAATTATTAATAATATTATATATTCATTTTTTGCCATGGTAAATAAATGCAGTGTAGCTGGATGCAAAAGTCTGTATGTAAAGAAGGATAATGTCAAATTGCACAGGTAATTTACTAACAACTAACTCCCAACTACCTCCAAAAGATGGAGGTCAATTGTGTATGCATAGTAAACTAATTTAAAAAATTAATTTAACTCTTTTAAATTTAGATTTCCCTTAACAAATTCAGAAACATTGCCTATATGGATAGCTGCTACTGGGAGGGAAAAAGGATGGAAACCTTGTAAAAGTAGTAGACTGTGTGGAAATCATTTTCAAGAATCTGAATATATTGTTGGACATGGAAAAGGAGTTTTGAAAGCTACAGCTATTCCAACAATTGAATATCACATAGATAACCCAGTATGTTTAATTGAATGGATATTAAAATAATTGTCTAATTAATGTTCAAAAATAAATATTATTTTCAGAAATACAGAAAAAATAAGTATTCATATTCAAATAATGATACGGGAAAAAATAATAAACCTAATCAAGTTGAATCAGTGGTAATTTATAAAGTTTTCAAATTATAATTCATAATAGTAATATATCTTTCTCAAAACAGGATTACTCAAATGTTGAAATTGTACAACTTAACTACAACGACATTTATGATTCAAAATATGAACATCGAAATAAAGATATAACAGATAATACCAGTGTCAGTCATGGAGAATCATTCTATCAAAATGAGTATGAAGAAATTAAAAGTAATAAAAACATTTCAACAGAAAATAAACTTCAAAATTCTACTAATTATAAGGATAATCAAATGGAAGATGAATATGAAGATGATAATTTGAATCACTATGAAACCACACACAATGAAGACGAAACTCAAAATTCAAACTCTGAAATTAAAAATATCTGTAATAGAGAAAACCAATGGTATGTTATCTTAAACTGCAGTTAGTTATTATTCGCAATAGTATTGTATTTCAATATTAATTTGTGTTTATTTCAGTTATATGTTTACAAGTAGTTTTCAAGAAGGCATAGAACCCATAATTTTAACTGATGACAAACCTTTCGAAGGACAATTAAATATGGTAAGACATTTTTTATAAAACTAAAAATGAATTGTTATTTTAAAATATAATATAAGTTACATAATTTAATGAATATAATTTCAGAATATTGAAAAATCAAAAGCGGAATTGAATTTCAAAAGAATTATGACCTTAAAATTTAAAAGGGAACGACGTACTAAAGATATTTATTCATTATATTTTAAATCATTAAAAAAAAAACAAGAAAATAATACTGATTATGATGATACAGGATCTTTTGGTGCTTTTATTGAAGCTCAAATGAAAGAATTACGTCCTTATAAAAAACTTTACTTAACTACAAAACATAGAATTCAAAAACTAATAATGAACGCACAACGAAAAATAGCTAATTGAAAATAATTTTAAATTAATTAAATATGAAATCATATTATCATAAGTAGTATATGATAATTAAGTATGAATATACAAAATGGTTTAGCTTAATATCCATAATACAGCTAGCCATTCTTTATTTTAAATAATATTGATGTAGACAATTTTTTATTATTATTGAATTAGTAACCATAATACTATAATATATAATTTTAATTAATATAAACTTGTAATTATTTGAATTATTATTGTATAAATATAAATGTAACATTAAATAATGTTAACGTGTTAAATGTAGACATTCCCCAAATATTGTCATCAATCACCAGTTTAATTAGAGAATCACATCAGTGTGAAAGATCATCAATAAAAGCGTGTTGGTGTCGAATAAGCTTTGTTAGTTAAAAATATCATAACAGAAGTAGATATATAAACAAAAATTCCAACTAGCAATAACGTCGATAACCTGAGTAATAATATGAAATAATCTATTAGCTTATTAGTTAGTATCTACAGGCATATTATAGAGAGTTGTATATGCAATGAGTGTGTTGTATAATATTATTTGTAAAAATGTGTGTCACCAGTGAACAAAATATAATTAAAATCAAATTAAATAATAGCGTTATAGTTTTTTTTATTTTTAATATTAATGTATGAAGAATAAATTTAAAGCAGCAATTGACAAAATGTTCAACAGTAAAAAGAGAGGTGACATTATATTTTATTTTAGTTTTGAAGAATACAACAACAAGATTCAAAAAATAAAAGAATAAAAATTGGAAAACTAAATTATACAAATAAATAATTGTTAATATATACATATTTTATTAGTTTCAATTAACCTATAACCTTTAGTTCAAATAATTACCTAAAATAAAAAATGAATCACCCACCAACAATAAATCGTACCTATAGTAAAAAAATCGGTATATTATTTGAGAGTTATTATCATTTATCACCAGTTTTAGTAAATGACATTAATGATCGGTGAAAGATGTACATTTGAATTTAAAATCTGGCTTTTTACATAATTTACCTACATAATTGATCATTTTGGTAAATGACGACATTCACCAATATTCGTCTTTTACTATAACATATATATATATGTATATTTTTTTTTGAACATTTAATGTTAATAACTATTATATTAAATAAAAAATGGCAAGCAATTGCAACTTTGGTTAGGTTAAAAATTCAAACTGAAAAATTAAAATAATACAATTTTTGTTTGATAATTATAATATAATTATAATTTTATTTATACAAAAAACTAATATTAGATTTCAATGAAGTATTTGAATTAATAATAACAAATTTGGTTGAATTAGGTTGTTTAAATATAAAGAAAAATTGAGTCTGAGCTCCTCAATTAAGATTTGATAAGTTATTAACAATCTAATTTATAATTAAATTTATGTTAATTTTACTATCATTACTATCATATTAGTTTTTAGTAATTATGTGAAATATTTATTGCTTGCAAGTTTATTATTTTCTTTATTCTTTAATACTAATTCAACTTAATTAATAATTCCTGAAAAATAAATTTTTCATTAAAAAAAATAAAAACAGTATTAAATAATAAACCAAAAACCCAAAATTACCAAATTTAAGAGAATCTAAAATCAAAACTCAGCAATTTATTGGTTTCGGTCAGAACTAAAAAAATTAAATTAATAATAATATAGGGAAGGTTAGTTGTAGAATACAATACAGGGATGGGTGAATGATATAACTGTATTACTCTTTTAAACTTAAAACCAATGTACAATTATTCTAGGAATGAACAATTCTGAGTTAAAGGGTAGATGAGTTTAAATTTTAAAAATAGTTAATACAAATTTCTTAATAAAGTAGGAAATTCTATTAAGTAAGAACTACCTTACGCACAAAAAAAAAAAAAATATATATAAAATTTGAAAATGTTGTGTCTATAATAGCACAAATTTCATTAAAATATTTTGCAATACTATAAAATGTATTTAAAACACTAATATAAGAATTTAGCAGATAATTTATGTCACTATGATTAATATTTATAGAATTACTCAGTATATTAATTAGTAAGGATATGACGATAATTTATGAAGAGGATTCAAATCTTAATCTCATTAAATGTTTTTTACAAATTTTTTTTTATTGTCAAGTATTTAACTATTGAAAAATTAAAAATTTACCACCCTTAAATTAACTTCTAGAACCCATTTCCTATCTTCGAATTTCAAAACTTTGATGGTTGGAGTTATCTTGATCGAAACTGTGTACACAGATACAAAACATACATCTTGGTAAAACTGATAGATTTCTTTTTTTTACTCAGAATCTAAAAGACTAATAGTAAAAGTTAAATCCAATTTTTTGATAATAATGTATAAATAGGTTATAATTTTTTTTAAATATAGAATAATAATTATTGGAAAATAACTATATTTTTTATCATTCTTATAATAGTTATTATATCAACATATAAAAAAAAAATTTAGTTTACTAATAAATTATTTTTAGGTATTACCTATATAAATAAAAATGCAAAAAATAAAAATAAAAACATATTAAAATATATGTTTGTTGCCTTTACTTCTTTCAATTCATCAAATATTTTTTTCGTAATGTTTATTAAAACAACAGATTTTTAAACTTTTCTGTATACCAGTAACTAACCACTGTTTTTAGAACATATTTCTATTTATTATTATGATAGCCTAAAAGATATATAAAGCCCATGATTAATACAAACGTAAGTAAGTAGTATATTAGTGTACATGCTGTCAATTCAATGGTTCTTGTATTGGAATGAGTGAGGATGTTTCAAATCTTCTTCTTGTGTTAGTCAGTTTAAAATTCCCTTCTTCTACCAGAATCAGCAATTTTAATTGCATTGTTCTTTAATTGATGTCCTATAAAATCCATGATCTCTCTTGATAATATTGAGCATTCCAATAAATTTCTTATTGTTTGCACATTCCCGTACTCACAGTTTTCGCCTGTAGTTCTCCGTTTTCAGGGCTATGATTGATGTTGGTATTTCAAATATAACTTAACTTTAAATTAAATACTATTTATTATTAAATATTCAATTCCAAAACATTAATTTATTAAATAAATAAACTGGTGTAAAGGTACTTTCTAAGACCGGACTAAAACAACACATCTGAATATAATTCTGTTCAGAACCCATTTATATACCCTAATCTTGTATGAACTCCACATTGTTTGTTTTCTCATCACTGTCAATACAGTTTTTGACTAATGATATACAATAACAACTACAGAACAAATTAATTATTAATGTGCGCCCAACTCTGGATTATTTATTATATATTGAAAGATTGACCTTATGACTTGCCTTTCAAGATAACTACCTATCACATGTCTTATAATTAATCGATTATAGATCATCCTATGATTTCTAGTTAGGTATTAGCTTAACTCTACTGTAATAGTGTCTATGAATAATGATTATAATAAGAGTTATTCTAATATCATTTATGGGGTCCCCCGTGTAATAGAAATTGTAAGGGCTTACATTTATGTATGTCTGTAACACTACCGTTGTAAAAAGTTAAACTAAAATCTACCTTTGTGAGATTTGGAAGACAGATAACATAAAAGACCCGTAAAAATTTATAATAATCACAATATAAAATTATTAAGAAATTGACAGAGTTGCATACACTAATACAAGTCATCATGGTAGTCATAATTTTTATGGATGTACTGGGCCCTGTTTCAATACGTTTTGACAAATTATGATGTACCTGTTGGTTTCTTGGCGTCCGTTTTGTTATTGGCCTGCAATGATTTCGGTGCAGGCATATTCAGCTTTCTTTCCATCTGACGGCTGTCTGACATTGGTGGTCACACGGGCGGAGAAATAGTCTCCAAAAGGAGAATAGGATATACACGAGCTGGAGGTAGACATTTTATTCAGTTTAATGCCATTTTCACATGAACAAATTGAAAATAACCAAATTATCGTTGGTTGTGCGATGGGATCGAATCGATTTCGGAGAACGGAACACACAAGGAATCGTGGAATGTGCGATCGGAGAGCTACAATTCTCTCTTATCGCTCAGTTTACGGTATGTGGATTTTCTTGACAGATTATGGTCACCAATGACGGCAAAAGAGCTCGAAACCAGAAAGGTTTTGTGTCGCTCGAAGGCGACGACGAATAAGATAATCGCGAACAACTGCGTAAAAATGGCGTCTATTAACCATAGGCCAACTTTACTATATACACTCACTAATACATACATAATACATACCGATCTGATAACAAATTGTGGATGTTCTTGGAACGGCGCAGTGGCCCGTAATTGCTCATCACATTGAGCGACTGATAGGAAATTAAACTTTGTTTAGTCCATGAAAACCTAAGCTTTTTAGAGGTAAACATTTAAGCAAAAGTAAAATAATTTTATAATTTAATTATCTACATTAACATTTACATAAAATAATAAATTATAAATTGTAATAAAAATGCTATCTAGTTGTTTATAACGTTAATGTTTTTTTTTTCTTTTTGTGTGTGTGCAGTTTACTAAATTTAAATATATTTATACAAATAAATTGTAGCATAATCTAAGGTCTTATTCTTTATTATGATTTAAGCAAGCCTGGGCAAGTGAATGATAATTTTTAACTGAGTTACGTTGATGGAAAACATTTTAAATAGTTTAAAGTTAACAATTAACCTAATTTTTTTTTAACTCGGTTAAGTTAAAAGTTATATAGACGTTTTTAATTAACCTATTAACTCAAATTAAATTTTTTTTATTTATTTTTTTTAATATTTATATAATTATCCAGTAATAGGGTTTAAAATAATAAAAATTGAACACAGGAAATAACCGGCGATTGTAAACTCCGCCAGTTTTTTTATTTTGTGTTTTGCCTGTGAATCCTTTCATAGTCATCTTAGAAATTTATTTTATAAACACCAACCGAATGTTAATATTTTTAGTAAAGTTCTTACCAAATTTCAAACCGATACTAATATAAAACTAAATGGTATATCTCCAGTAAATAAACTAAAAAATTCAAGAAAAAAAAAAGAGTGTTACAGGAGGCTACAAATAGGTACAATAATGGAGTAATACAAAGCTTAGAATATTTACAAATTGTATCACATTATTTTAGTTTACATAGATGACATAACTATATATTTTTGGATTTTTAGGTATAAGGATTATTTATTATGATTTTTTTTTTACTGTAATACAAATATTTAATATGGACGATTTTTTTATTATTATTATGAAAAATATGATTTTATATTATTAGGTATAATGATTATTTATTATAATTTAAATATTTAATGTGAACGATATGATATTATACTTGTATTATATTATGATTTTTTTTTTAATATTATATTATATTAATTTTATACTACTACATGATTTTCTTCACTAGCGGAGTTTACATTATGGGTTCTCAACCTTTTGAGGTCCGTGCTCCCTTTAAAACTATCTTATGAGTTGACGCCCCACCCCCTCACTACTCAAAGATTGATGTATTCTTAATATTTGTATGTAAACAATACTTTAATGTAGATGCTGGAATCGAACCCAAAAGATCTGGTTCTAGAATCCAAGAATCCTTAAAATATTGGAAACCAGAACTAAACTGGGACCCTCATTATAAAATGGAAAATATCGGATGTAACAAACATTATTAATTATTTCTTTATTCTTAAAATTTCAAAGCATAAATAAATTATTGTGCTATAAGTTTTTTAAAAATTTAATTTTTAATATTATGTGCTGACAGATGGACGACTAAAGGCTAAACAGGTTAATACTCCAATTTTATCAATACGGTTATCTCAGTGGTGAATTGGGCAACATATCCTATTATGTATAGTTATAATTTAAATTAATTTATAAATATTACTATTCTTCAAAATTTACAAACTCTGTTTTTGGCAAAATAAATTATTATTATTTATTATTATAGATACAAATTTGAATCACAACATAATGAGTTCAAAAATTAAATTTTACTTTGCATATTTTCTCATATTATTAAGTACTAGTTTTAGGCTTTATTATAATGCTATAAAATTATACATTACTATATAGCTGTTAAAAGAAACTTATTGCGATATAAATATAATATATAAATTAGTTGAAAGGGTCTTGAGACATTTATTTTCATACGAGTATATTATACCATATTGCTTAGTATAATGCCATTATACCGGTACCATAATATATAATTATATATATGTAATTTTTAAATATGTATTAAAAAATACTACGTATTACATTTTAAAATTGTTATTTAAAACCCTATAATATCGGAATCCGAACCCAAACCATTTAATAAAATAATTGAGAACCGGAGTAACAGTCCCTGCTTTAATGTTGGTTATTGGATTAAGAAGAATACAACTTCAATGAAATTTTTTTAATATTAAATTAATTTATTTGCATAAAAAAAAAATCGACCACGGTTGCAAGGCACAGCGTAAATGGCAACGTTTTAATTTTTGATGGTTTTTTTTCAACATTTTCCCCCCCCCCCCCCATCTGAAATTTTATCACGCCTACCTAGGGGGCGCGACCCCCAGGTTGAGAACCACTGGTTTACATGATCTCAAATTTACCAGTTTATTTTTTCTGGCGGAGTTTACATGCACCAGGAAATAATCAATAGCTTTTCTACGCACAGAATTTAATTATTAGGTACTGATAAATATAATTATGTAGTAGGTAACAAAAGGTAAAAGGACGTTTCACCCCCGCCGAATCATCCGTGTAAAAAAAAAACGAGTCCACAGACGTTTCGTCTCCGTCTATTATTAAGATAGGACATTTGGTCCCCTAGAGTTATTAAAATTTATTTATACCTACACATAGGACGTTTGGCCTCTGAAATTTTAAATCACAAAATTTAAATAATTTTTTCTTTTTAACTTAAAATTTAAATTATTTTAAAACATACAATTGCACAACAAATTGAAATCCTAAATAACCGTATATTGCATAACCCAGTGCTTCTCAACTTGGAGGCCGTGGTTATATAATTAGTGGGCCGTGAAATATTTATTTAATTTAAAGCTCTTGAAACCGAATTTAATGAAAAAGAATTTACTACATTTTGGTTAAGATGACAACAAGAGTATCCTGTAATTTCGAAAGCAGCTTTTCTTATATTAATACTTTTCGCATCGACATATCTTTGTAAAACTGCATTTTCACAACTTCAAATTATAAAAAAACAAATACAGATCATGTATTTCACAACCGTCTTTAGCAAACTTACGTATTTCAGTTTCAAATATCACACCTGACATAAATATGCCATGCGAAAATATGCAAGCCCAACCGTCACATAGTAATTAAAACATTTTTTTATTATTATTAACCTAGCCTTTGTTTGAAAACAAATCAACCAAAATCAACATTATTATTGAATATTTTTGTATTGCTATATAGTTATTACCAATTATTTTTGAATAATAATTGGTAATAACTATAATATATAAGCAATTGCTTATATATGTTTTAAGTTTTATTTATAAGATTTACATTTCAAAAATATATTAAAAAACATTTATTTTCTTTACATTTTAATAATTTATTTGTGTGAAATAGTACATGTAAATTTAGTATATCTTTAACAATAAATAATCAATGATTTTGAATGAGGGGGGGTCTTGACAGTTTTATATTAAACTAGCCGACCCGTCACAGCTTCGCCCGTGATTGGTTGTTTATTTTGCCTTTGGACCATGATATGTAGAATTTTTTATTCAAATATTATTGTTTAATGTGATCGGTAAGTAAATATAAAAAAACGGTTAATGAAAACGGATTGAAATTTTTCTAGCGTTATAAATGATAAAAATAAATACAGATAAAAAAGTGTTAGCATTTAAATTAAATAAACGCTCGGTCAGGAATATAGGTGTATATTAAACAGAATATAGCTATATATATATATATATATATATATATATATAAAGGTAAAAAGAATAATAAGTTGATCAACATCGGTTGCTGCGGAATGGTAACAAATACGTCTGATCACTAGACTGATTCGGGAAAAAAGTGAAAATGCCGACCTGCACGCCGTACTCGGCGTGCCGGAGCAAAAAAGGGGAGGGAAGGGCTGTGGTACGGTGTGACCAATCTGGACCACACAGTGCCACGGCCTTTACTATAGTTAAATATATTAACATTAACCGCTAACAAAAGAAATAATTTATGGTTGATAAAGAATTTGATTAAAGTTGATGAAGAAAAAAAAGAAGAAAAAAGAATTAAAATAAGAATTTTATAAGACTTCTGAGTATATGATGTTTTTTGTTGTATTTTCTGTTGAAATTGAAATCATAAGATGATTCGGGTCTCCAGTTCGAGAAAATGCCACGTATAATTGCCCATATGAAAAGCACTCTGTACGAAGATCTACGCCAACGTACTTGAATGGTTGACTTTGCGCTTTGTTTATGGTAATGGCAAAAGAAACTTTAACCGGGAATTGAAGCCGTTTGAAAGAAAACGGCAAGTCAGAGGGAATCATGGGTATTCTTGGAATAAATGCAATTTCTCCTTTCGCTGGCCCTGTAAGAATTACGGCTTCTATAATATTACTTCGCAACGATTTTATTTGTAATCTTGTACCGTTACATAAGTTCAGTGGTTAAAGATTACGTAATAATGTAATTGGAGCACCAATTTTTAATTTTAGCTTATGAGAAGGAAATCCCGATGGAGAAAGAGAATTGAGAAATTCTTGTAGATAATGAATAGCCTCATCTGTTGATGTAACTGTATCAATAGATAGATATTCACGTGAGTGTTCATCGAATTTTAGAAGGATGATATCATTAATTTCTGCTGTTACATTCCTCGGAGAGATAATAGCTCTTTCACATAACCACTGATAAGATTTATTGGACAGATTAAAAATTTCAGGATAAACTGTAGAAATCAACTCTTCCACGTTATTGACCACCCGTCCAATCGTGTGATTGACAGAAATGTAACCATTTTCATTTTCTAAAATTCCATTTCCAATTTTCAACAACTGTACTGGAAAAATATCGTCCCCTCCGCATAAATAAACTCTCATGTTTGTTTGCAAATAAAGTTTTTCAACATAGTTCCATATAGGGGAAGATTTTAAGCAAGCATTAACGACATCAGCTCGAGTACCTTTAGAGATTACTGGTAAGGTTTGACGAAAATCACCAGCGAAAACAGAGGTTGTGCCACTCATAAACTTATTATTACACCTAAGATCTT